GAGCAAGGACGCTACTAGGGGCTCCTGGCATCGCTACTAGGAGCAAGAAGCTACTAGGGGCTCCTGGCATCGCTACTAGGAGCAAGAAGCTACTAGGAGAAAGTTGTTTTCTTCCTTTTTTGAACCGGCAAAGTTGCCGCAGGCCAGAAGAAGGCTCGAGCGAAACCTGCCTGAGGCGAACGTTGGACGGTGTTGGGCGTGCCCCTTTTTACGCTTCACGCTCCTTCCTTCCTTCGTTCATTCATTCATGCTTGTTTTCTTTCGTTCTTTCTCATGCTTCGCGCTTCTTTCACTTCAAAGAAGTACTCAACGATGAGACCCTTTATTTGAATAGGCTCTTCCCAATGTCAAGGCCTTTGATGGTCTCGGATCTCCAGTTCACACTGGTGCCGCCACTGCGCCGCTCCGCCTCAGGCAGAGTCTGCCACGGAGCCGACCAAGTTGGGAGAGCTTAACGAGTGAGAGGAAATCGTTTCATCAGATGAAATCAGATGAAGGGATCGAAAGAACATTCTGATTTCAACATATGACTCTTTCGTGTTTTTCTTGCAAGATTTCTTACATGATCCTTTGCATGTTTTCTTTCTGTTTCTTTCGTCGGTCTATTTTCCTTTCTCTTTCTTTCTCTCGCTCTTTTTCTTTTTTCAAGACCTTTACACTCTTGCATTAGAATACTCCGCTTTTTGCTAGCATGTCTTCTGAAGAGTGGCGTATCAGTGCGTCCTTACAGCGACCCTTAACTTATACCGATGTGATTGGAACACACGCATTCGATGTTGTCATTTGTCCCTGTGCCACTTAGCAACATGTTTGAAAGCCAAACACAGATACAGAAAGCTTCATTTGCACCCTCCAAACAACCAGGTAATCTCTATAGGTGCCGCCCATCCTGAATTCGCAACGTTCCCAGGTCCTGCAGTGACGATCAAGCCAAAGGCGTCCGTTTTCTTTCCGAGCTCTGCTTGATCTCTGTCTCTTTTGCAACGCCACATCCAAGCGGTGCTGAGTTAAATGAAATGCAGTTGGATCCAACTCATGTGCAGAAATAGAAATATCATAATGCTAAGAGTATATGTCTTTTTGCACTAGCACTGCAGTGTAATACTGTGTGTATATATATGTGTGTGTGCGTGTGCACATAATTACTGTCCCGCTACGAAGACAATGACAGTCTCGTTGGTACACTTTGGCCAACAGAGAGTTTTCTTTCAGACTCTTGTTTCTCCTTTGCTATTAGGTTGGAGGCCTTCGCTATGAGGAACAAGAAGCTACTCGGTGCTCCTGGCCTTACTACTAGGAGCCTCCCGGCATCGCTACGAACGGAGCAAGAAGGCTAGTAGCTTGGAGGCCATCACTAATAGCTTTGTTTCTAGTAGCTTCTTGTTACTACTAGTAAGGCACTTGTTACTAGTAGCGATGCACTTGTTACTACTTGAGCTATCAGATTCAGGCAAGGCCCGTTTCTCCGCCCGGATCGCCAACGGATCTCGCCGTCGTCGCCAGTGTCCACCGGATCGAGATCACCCAGCCACTCCACCGCCAGCGTCTCGAGCCCCCGCCCGGGGACCGAGCCGACCGAGCCGGACCGAGTGGGTGGGCGGATCCACCGCCAAGCAGGTCTAAGGGAAGGAACGAAGGGTTTAAAGAAGAAAAAGGCCTTAAAGACAGAACGAAGGAATGAACAGCAGGGAAAAACACAAGGTCCAAATGTCAGGTCTAGACAAAAAACACAAAAAGGGCTAAAGAAAACGATCAATGACTGGCCGTCTCGGGCATCAACCTGCCACAGGCCAAAAAAACACAGCTACGATTGTGTATGATTCTTGTGGATTCTTGATTTCTACCTTCACTTCGTTTGCGGACATAGAAACTGCCTCAACTGGCCATGGAGCTTGTATCTTGGGAGCTAACACCCAAAATGAAGCTTGGAGGCGACTTTGAGCGGTTTAACGCTCAGCCTCGAGGCTTATATGCCTTGGTTCGGGTTCTGTCCGAGGTCCTTCCGAGAAGTAAATGTTTGCGACTCAGCTTTTGGCATTTTTTGAATCCCATTCCTATTAGGTTGGAAGCCATCGCAACGTAGTTACCCTGATCAGATTGTATCATGATTGTATCTATTTCTTCCTGCCATCTCCTTAGACACCTTGATAATATAAGGTAAAGGATTTCCTTTAAATAAGAAACTATTTTGGTGACTTGCCATCACAAGAGCCACGCCTGAGGAAGAAAACACGAATCGGGCGACTGAACTTGGGCCGTGTACAGAGACAGAATGGGGCCTTGCACATTTGAGGGCTGCTTGTGCGGGGCATGTCAAGGAAACCAGGAGTAGGAGGCCATCGCTACTAGGTAAGAGGCCATTCCTATTAGGTTGGAGGCCATCGCTCTTGGGTTGGAGGGTCAAGGAATTAGGAGTAGTCAAAAGTTGGAGAACGGTCAAAAGTTGACGCCAGTCCACCACTGGTGGCTTCCATTTAATACCTCGGACTTTTTACTTTTGGATATCCTTCCCTCCCAGACTCCCATGAAATGAAACGAATTCCTATGCACAGAAACCAAAGGAGGGCAGAGAAACCAAAGTGATTCCGGAGTATTTCAACACAGCCCAATTGTGCCTTACTAGTAGTAACAAGAAGCTACTAGGTACAAGTGCATCTCTACTAGTAACGTCCTTCAGTCCTAGTTCTGGGTTTGAGACCAACATCACCACCGTTGGTTGGGGCTGGGATACATCCCACCCTTGCCACCAAGCGACATTGGGGTTGGAAGCTTTGCTTTTACTCAGCTCTTCACAACTTCACTACTACCTCTTGCTATTAGGGTGGAGTCCATTGCTACTAGGGTGGAGGCCATCGCTATTTGTTCCTAGTAGCTTCTTGTTACTACTAGTAAGGCACTTGTTACTAGAAGCGAGGCACTTGTTACTACTAGCGATGCACTTGTTTCTAGTAGCTTCTTGTTACTACTAGTAAGGCACTTGTTACTAGTAGCGATGCACTTGTTTCTAGTAGCTCCTTGTTACTACTAGTAAGGCACTTGTTACTAGTAGCGATGCACTTGTTTCTACTAGGGTGGAGGCCACTTTCTCCACTTCCTTGACCTGCCCGGTCCGCCCCCACTCGTCCCCCCCCTGGAAGTCGCGCCCGCCGATTTGAAGCGCGGAGTTTCGCCGCGGTGAGTCGATGGACCGAAAAAGGAAACATGATCCCTGAGTGTTGCTAGTAGAAACAAGTGCCACGCTAGTAGTAACAGGTGCCTTACTGGTAGTAACAAGAAGCTACTAGAAACAAGTGCATCGCTACTAGGAACAAGTGCCTTACTACTAGGAACAATGTTTGCTAGTAGAAACAATTTGATTCTATTTAAATGAATAGTAGCTTCTTGTTACTAGTAGCTACTAGGACGACGTTACTAGTAGCGATTCACTTGTTACTACTAGCGATGCACCTGTTACTAGTAGCTTCTTCTTACTACTAGTAAGGCACTTGTTACTAGTAGCTTCTACAATTTAAACATGTTTATTTCCATTGCTTTCTGATTCTTGTGGTGCGAGAAGAGATCAGGAAGACACGCACGCATATTTTCCGGCTAAATAGATATTACTTTTGGTCACAACTGTGGTTCTCAGTTATGCATACTTGTTGTGACAAGTGACACTCAATTTGTGTCACGGCTCTTCTTGTGGCTCCCTTTTTGCCTCAGACCTTGTCTTCTGACAGCACAAATTGCTACTGAAGAGTCCACGAGTTTTGCCTGAACAATGAGAACTTGCAGTTTTGAAGGTCAAAGCAACAAGCGCCTTGAAGAGATAGAAAGCCATGCCAGGACTGCCAAGGCAGAGGATGCCGCACGGTCCGGCGCTTTCCTTGCCGCACGGTCCGGTGGAGTCATTTTGGCATTCGGACGAGAAGACTCGATCTTCATGCATCCAGTGATGGCGGCCGTAGAGGCGCCAAAGGTCATCGTCAACAAGCCTCATCTTTTTTGCATCAAGTGGCGGGGAATTCGATCGATGTTGGTGCAAAGACTGCGATCAAGAAAGAAGGCAGCTGCGGCAGGTGGATAGTCGTGAATAGCATTCCTCCATGGTTGTTTGTCTTGTGGCTTCATCACGAACTCTACCAAGGCATCCAGGACAAGTTCATCCAGCACTCCTGGAACATGGAACAGAATTTTGTAGATCTCATCACCGGCCAGATCTATAAGGCATTTCGAACTCTAGGGAACCCAGAGGAGCAAGATTTGCAGTCACTCGTTGATAAAGCTGGCAAGGTCATGCGGAACGTTCAAGTATTCGAAACCCCCAAAGGGGCAAAAAGGAGGCGGCACAGAGCAGGGAGAAAAGCAAGTATGCTGGCCCTCCCGTGTGATGGCATACTCTTTTTTTTGGCAGCCAGAATGAGCGCACGTGCTCACGAATGTGCGGTTAGAATTTCGATGGAAGCCAAAGGGAAGTTTTCCTGCACAGGAGATACTCCCCTGCAAACCCAGCAAACTGGAAAGGAACATAGTAGCTGCAAAGCTGAGGCTGAAAGCAAAGCAACGGGACAAGGACATACGCCGGAAAGCATTTTTTGGGGCATCACGAGCTGCATTGGGGGACTTGGAGGAGGCCTTGCAGCTGTGGGTGTTCAGATGGGATCAGCAAGAATTGCAGCGAATGTGCCTGTCTACCATTTTCAGCGGATGGATGCTTTTGTCGTGGGCTTCATTTGTGCGTTTGGGGTGATCGGAGGATTTTTCAATCTTTTTGATTATAGCACTGACCAAAGGCAAGTGCATGATCAGGCGGACTTGCTGAAAGTGCTAGTAGCAGGTGTGTTTTCCGGTGCTGGCGGCTTTATGGCCTTGGAAGACAAACTGTTGCAGCGCCAACAGATACAGTGAGTTTTGATGCTTGACGAATCACATCAACTGAGTTTGAAAAATCGTGTGCGAAGAGAGACAACTCCAGCCTGAAGGCAAAAGCGAGCGCATGTGGTCCTATGGAAGCTGGAGATCAACCAAGCCGCTTACTTCGCCCTTACTGCAACAAAAGGGGTAGTTGAGAAGGCGCAATCGAAAGAAAAAACCAAGAGGGACCACTTCAGATGAAAGAGGCATGAGCACCGCAGCCAGAGGATCGATTGGGATCGACCCGAGTTCAAAAACCAAGCAATCAAAAAGGATAATACAAGCCAGTGAAGAACTAATGCCATGCCTAAGAATGTAGGGCTTCAACCGATTTCACCGCTTGCATTACATTTCCATGCCTACAGTATTCGAAGCATAAAACTCTTCACCACAGTATTGCTGGGTTTACTACATCCTTTTGATTCCGAAATGAAGAAGATGAACTTCCGGTCGCACCCTCAGGTAGCATCAAAGAATCATGGAGGCAACTCTTGGTTCTCATTGACCTTTTGCCCCTATAACTGTGAGCTCTGAATGTTGTAACGTGATGTATTCTGAGACAACTATGCTGCAAAACACTTCAGGCCTTGACTGTTACCTCCCCTTCTTACCACTTTCAAGGAATGCCTCAAGGATTTATAGTAGGTGTTATTTATAGTAGGTGTTGAATGGTTTGCCTTTTGCATTTGTTGGTTTTTGTCACGTTTGCAAGACAGGTCAGAGGGAGGTTTCTTGACGTGAGGTCCGTGCTTCGATGACGTGGACATGGTCATGACATACTACGGCCCCGGGGGGGGCAAGCCGCAGGGGGAGTTGTTCGGGCCGGTCAAGACAGGCCAAAAACAAACCAGCGTCCTTGCTCCTAGTAGCGATGCCAGGAGCCCCTAGTAGCTTCTTGTTCCTAATAGCAATGGCCTCCAACCTAGTAGAGTCCGATCGCTCTGTTCGTAGCGATGCCCTTTGCTCCTAGTAGCTTCTTGTCCCTAGTACCTACAACATTGAGAGGACATGGACTCAGAAGTTTTTTCTTTCAAGGCGTGGATGGATTTTCGTTCATCTCTGTCTCAGACACGTGTCACAGCTTCCAAGGAGAACTTGGGATCAGCCAGTCTGCCAGCCATCGTGCAGTCTTATCTGCCTATCGACAGCGAGCTCTCCAGACACACCCCGACAAGGACAGAGCAGAGCAACGTAAAGCGAGTTAATCTAGTACCAACGACAACCATTTACTGACTCCTCCTGGCTACAAGATTGCTGAGCTTAGCTAAATAAAGCTTCAAATGTGATTTTTCTAGATCAAGAACTGCCACCACTAATTAAGTTGCAGTGGTTTGATTTGGACATGGAGATCTCTGCCGACAGCTAAAGCAGCCGGATTTCTCCAGGGTGGCTCCCACGATGCATACGTGCGAGTTCGACAAGCCTTCGAGGTTGGAATGATGTCGTGCTTCCATCTTCCTCCTGTCAAATGGGCATCATGGATCAGCCATGACCGTTTTTGGGGAAGAGATAGGTGTCAGGGGGTAGGTGTCGGGAGGTAAATCCTTTAAAATAGAAATTTGAATAAACAAGATAAAAGTATTCAAGAGGTATAACATAAAAGGTACTACGTGAAGAAAAGTGAGATCCGGATGGACATAACAGCAAGCGGCTACTTGGACCATCTGGGACCTTCCAGCTTGAACTGCCGGCCTGAGCGGTGAAACATTTTTCAGAAGCAAATGAGCAAAAGCCCGAGCGGGCTTTTACCGCAGAAGAAGCTGAAGCCTAGCCTAGCTGAAGCTACTAGGAACAAGTGCATCGCTACTAGTAACAAGTGCCTTACTAGTAGTAACAAGAAGCTACTATTAACTTAATTAGAATCAAATTGTTTCTAGTTCGCCTATACTGATGATGGGCGTAATGCCAGGTCCTCAGCGATGCCCGCCAGCGCGCAGAGTACGACGCCGAGCTCCGGGGACGAGGACTGGGCGAAGGCGGGCGAAGGACTGGGGTCGAGGCCGTCGCTCTTCGTAGAGATGGTGTCTTAAAGGTCTGAAGAAAACCTTCAGAACAAGTGCATCGCTACTAGTAACAAGTGCCTTACTACTAGGAACAATGTTTGCTAGTAAAAACAATTTGATTCGAATTAAATTAATAGTAGCTTCTTGTTACTACTAGTAAGGCCCTTGCTCCTAGTAGCGATGCACCTGTTACTGGTAGCTTCTTGTTACTACTAGTAAGGCCCTTGCTCCTAGAAGCGATGCACTTGTTCCTAGTAGCTTCTTGTTGCTACTAGTAAGGCACTTGTTACTAGTAGCGATGCACTTGTTCCTAGTAGCTAACATTGTTTCTAGCAGCTTGTTGGAGATGGTGTCCAAGGCCGTCGCTTTCAATGTGGGAAGGTCGGGTCGACTCGGTGGGAACCTTCACGTCCGGTGCCGCAGATGGATGGAGCTCTTCGGCGCCATCAGGTGGGCTGGGATGGAGGATGGAGTCCATCGTTTCTGTTTGGAGTTTTGTTTTCTTCTTGAGACCTTTTTTTACTTTACTTCTTCTTTTCTTAACTGAACCAAAAGACCCGTTCTTTGTTTCCCTTCTTCTTTGTTCTTGTTGGTCCTTTTTCTCCATCGTTGCTTCTTTTTTCACGGTGCTTTGACCTGGAGCTTCGGGAGTTGGGGATGCACGTAGCCGTGGTGGCCTCCAACCGTAGCTAGCGATGGCCTCCACATATCATCGGAGGCAAACAGAATATGATGACTGAACGTGATCGCTCCATGCTCCATGAAACTGGCCAAAGGCTTTGAACGACTCAGCCATTCGAATCTGCCCATTTCGCAACTTGCAAGGTCGAAGTCTTGATGTGGCCTCCACCCTACTAGCGTCCTTGCTCCTAGTAGCGATGCCAGGAGCCCCTAGTAGCTTCTTGTTGCTTGGTGAGTACGCAGTGAAGTGGATCTGATGGGTCGATGTGCTTGGTGACGATGTTGACTCACTGGCTTTTCCATTCTGCACACCCTACGTAGCTGCATCCGCGACGCGGCCACAAAAAGCGATGGTTCCGAACATGGGTGTATGCTCCCAACGAGTCCTCTTCCTTCTCGCACAAGGTGCAGCATGTGCAGCAGATGCCAAGTAAACTGCAATGTGTCCAAAGTCTGCTCCGTAGTAGCGAACATTGTTTCTAATAGCTTCTTGTTACTTCTAGTAAGGCACTTGTTACTAGAAGCGATGCACTTGTTCCTGTTAAGCCTTCCATTTGCCCGGCGACGTCTCAACCGTTGAGCGCTCTCTGTTCGCTCCACCTCCGACTCCTGACGCAACGCTCCGCGTGGCCGCGTGGCGAAGAGAGCTCATCGAGAGAAATTGGATGACACGGTCCACAAAGTCCAACCACAAACTAATAGGTCTCCAACATGACATATAGATAAGTGGGCTCCAACGTACTTTCTTTTTGGACCAAAGCTACTAGTAACAAGTGCCTTACTACTAGTAACAAGAAGCTATTGGGAACATGGCCTCCAGTCCCAAAAAGTCCAAACGAAACCATGGCGCCCCAGCGACGACTGGTCGCAGTGACCGACCAGGTGCGCCGGCCTTTGCGGAGCGGCGTTCCGTTGAACCCTTGGCCCTGCCGGGGATCCGAGAATCGAAGGAGTCTTCCGTTACTCAAGTAGTAACAAGTGCCACGCTAGTAGTAACAGGTGCCTTACTAGTAGTAACAAGAAGCTACTAATTACAATTCTAATTAAATTCTTATTGTTACTACTAGTAGCGTCCTTGTTACTACTAGTAAGGCACTTGTTACTACTAGCGATGCACCTGTTACTAGTAGCGTCCTTGTTACTACTAGTAAGGCACTTGTTACTACTAGCGATGCACCTGTTACTAGTAGCGTCCTTGTTACTAGTAGTAAGGCACTTGTTACTACTAGCGATGCACCTGTTACTAGTAGCTTCTTGTTACTACCAGTAAGGCACCTGTTACTACTAGCGTGGCACTTGTTTCTACTAGCAACACTCAGTGATCATGTTGTTTACCACGGCATGTAGCCCTTTTGTGTTGATTTTCTTTTGCGGGATTGATTTGGCACACAATGTTGATCATGTTTCGCACGCAACAGCCAGAAACGCCACGACGAATTGAAGAAAACTGACGGCCTATCAAGTTTCCCTAAAAGTCTAGGAACCAAAT